TGATAAACATTTGAGAAAAAATTACGCGAAATAAATTATCATTTGTACATCTAGATCCTCGAATAAAATAATATGAACTTGAAGTTCATAAAAAGGATAATTCATTTGCAAATATTGCAAAGCATGCCAGACGCATTTCCTGACCCAAAGAAAGTAAGTATATTCTCATAGCAAATGCTCCTATTAAGTCCTAGAAGGACAAAGTCTACGGTACGCTTAAAGCATATAGACAAATTGGTTTCAAATAACCTTCTTGATAAAGAAGATGAGCAAATGATCATAATAAAGGAGACACGTGATCTAGAAGATCACATGACATAATACTTCATAAAATCTCAAGAGAGGTTTAGGTACCAGAAATGAATGAAGAGATCTCTATGTTCTATCTTTATTAAAAATGTTGAAACCGATATAAAATGTTCGTCGACGACATCTATGATACCGTTAAATATATATGAGGATCTTAAGTCTGGAGAAACAATTTCGAATAGAATTGGTTTCATATGAAAGACATGTAGTTTTGAACATGTAATTCAAACACTTGAAAGTATAAAGTCAATGGTATGTGAAATCAGTTTTCGATATCTTATATGTCTAGCATGACATGAAAACTTGATATGCATCTAAAGTCTATTATATGGCTTATATGACTTAACTTATATGACAAGCCATGAAGGATTTAAGTTGCTTGAAGCATATACAATTCTTGATCTTGAAGTACTACTTCCTCAGTGTAATTTGTGCACAAATGTATCTTGCTATAACTATAGGCATGATAATATGATAGCAAGAGTTTTCACCTCTATGTGAAGACATTGAACTAACGATTCCAACATGATCATATGAAGACAATACATCTATTAGGGATGATGATTTCAAGGTGAAATAAATTCGTTCAAGTTAATATCGCTGATTTGTTTATCAAATCTCTACCAAAGATCTTTTGAAGATGGCGCACAAGATTGGAATGCAAATGCTTAAGGATGTGAATTGATGCTCTCATCTGGAGGAGTTAATACGCTTTGTACTCTTTTTCCCTTGCAAGGTTTTGTCCCACTAGATTTTTCTTGCAAGGTTTTTAACGAGGCAACCAAAATTAGGCGTATTGTTAGATATGTGTACTCTTTTTCCTTTTCTAGAATGTTTTTTCCACTGGTTTTATTTTAGTTAAGGTTTTAACGAGGCACATTATCTGGTAGATAGACACTCAAGGGGGAGTGTTATAAATAGAATTCTATTTAAGGTGAATGTCTATATTTTAGAGAGATTTTAAAGCTTGTTACTTGGTGGCTAAGTCACTTTTCCTCTGTAAATAGAGGGTCTTATTCCATTTTAATTCATCCCAAAATTTAATAAGAATTACTCTCTCTCTTTCTCTGCAGTAAATAGAGGGTCTTATTCCATTTTAATTCATCCCAAAATTTAATAAGAATTACTCTCTCTCTTTCTCTGCAATATTGTTCTTCTTCTTTTATTTTTTTATTACATGAATTAAAATTTTCAAAATAAATTTTAAAATTTATGGCCAAACGCTAGCTAAAAATATTTGATAAAGGAAGCTTTAAAATTGCACCGTACCCCTTGATGGTTCAACCGTTCATGTGTATCTTCTCTAGGTGCATAGAGACGAAGAAATCAAAGAAACATCGAGGTGTCCATAGATTTTTGTCCTTTTCTCGGAGGATTTTTCAAAAGCGTATTTGTCCATGAAAACTTGTAAATTTTTGGAGATTTTTAAAAAATGAGTTCTTCAAAAAATCTGCACTCACAAAACTTTAATTTTTTTTCAAGTAAAATACATGTATAAATATAATTTTAAATTTCGAATACCATTTTTAAACTTAACTTCAAATACTGATTTTTTTTCAAAAATTACAAATTTTATGTCAAAACGCCTACTTATAGTCCCGAGGTACCGAAAAAAGTATCACAAAATAGGTGTAGGTTCAACACTCACCGTCTCATTCTTCTTCTATCCCAATCCTTCTTGTTTACATGCTCAAATATTTAGTAATACTAACAACTTGTTTGGATATGTCCTTTCATAATGTATGGTATTGTATTGTACTGTATTATATTGTATTGTTTGATGCACCAACAATATGAAGAATAAACTTGCAACATTATTGAGAAAAAATAGGATATGGAGTAAAATTATTATATAAAAAAGTAAGGCAAAGGATAAAGAGCCCGTTTGGATTAGCTGACTTGAAGTAGCCGATAAGCATTAGGTGCTGAAAAGCACTTTTAAGTGCTGAAACTGATTTAATAAATAAACAGTTACGTGTTTGGGTACAAGTGCTAAAATTGATAATAAGTTGTTGCAGTATTTGATAAAAAAGTGTTGATAAGCTTTTTTCTGTTAAAATTACTTAAATAACCTTAGAACTGTTTACACTTATACGGGCGTAATTTCTTTAAAATTTTAGATTCCAGATCGATTTAAATACAAAATATTCTATTTTTTTATTTTATTTTAAATACAACTGTGATTAGATAAGATAACTTTTATGATAAATATAATTTATTTTATGATAAGCATATAATCATAGGTTATAGTAATAATTAATAAATTGACAAAAGTTTCTCAGTAAAAAATGAACCTAAGTAGGACAAAATATTTGAAGAGAAACAAACACTGTCTTCATCACTATAATACTTAGAAAGCAATACACCAAAAATTTGATATGTCCTCATTTATTACATACAGTTCAAAGATTAATATACAATCACATAAATATAAATATGCAAAGGAATAGAGAAATTGCTTATGTTAAATAGTCAATGAGAATTGCAGACCTGAAGCGGCGGAGGGGGGGGGGGGGGGGTTAGGTTGAAAAAAATACTTGAGGCAGTGAGTATCAATGTAGGAGTTTTATTCTAAAACGGAATATTTTAAGGATAAAATAGTAAAAATCTTGGTCAAACTTAAAGTGCTTATAAGCTAAAAATTCATAAGCTGGGGGTGACCAGCTTATGGCTTATTTTTGACTTATAAGCACTTGGCTTATAAACACTTTTAACTTTACCAAACACGTAGATAAACCGAAAAATGCTTATAAGCTAGTTTGACCAGCTTATAAGCTTTGCCAAACACCCTCAAATATGATTATTTAATAACAAGGAAGGGCAAGATAAGAGAAAAAAGCAAGGAAACGACGTCACCACACCAAATTCGTCGTTTCATCGATCAAGTGGCACTTCTCATCGTTATATAATGATCGATTTAACAATACGATACAATAGAATTTAAGTAACAACCATCCAAACCAGTAGTAAAAAGAGGATTAGGAAAAGGGAAAAAAAAAGTTAGATAAAAGTTTATGAACTAGTATTAAATTCTATAACAAAAAAATTAATGAGATCAATTAAATACTGTATCTTCTTATTTGTTATCTTAAACTTTGTATGTTCACCGATTTTACTTCGATAGTCTTTTTTAAGGGGAGGGAGCGAATGTCAGGCATTATTTTTCCAGTAAATTAAAGCAACCATCTAATATGAAGAATATCATTCAATAAATTCAAATTAATGTAAATTAATCCTGATGCTGTTGTACGGTCAAAAGAAAGAGAAAAATTCAAATATTACATAAAATATAATTTTCAAACTCTTCAATTTGCCATTAACGTTGGAATTAGACATTGTAAAAAAATCTCGTATTGGTCGAGTGCATAATCTTAAGATTAATACAATATGTTAAACAATTACAACTTGTTTGGATGGTCGTTACCTGTTGTATCGTATTGTATTGTTACTTTAAATACGATATTTATTTTGGTTGTTACATAAATTTTATTGTATCGTATCGTTAAATTCGCCGTTACGTAACGACGAAATGTGCCACTTTATGTAACGACCGATTTGTGTGGTTGCGTCGTTATCTTGTCTTTTTCTCTCATCTTACCCTTCACTATTATTAAATTATTTTATTTTATCATTTACCCTACCTTTTTATATAATAAATTTATCCGTATCATAATTTTTCTTTATAATATTACAAATTTATTCTTCATATTGTTGGTGCATGATATCATGAAACAACGGCAAACGATAAATCTATCCAAACATTGTATTCATCAAACGATACAATACAATACGATACATTATGAAACGATGTGTAACATAACTAATCTCATTATAAACCCACAAAAAATTTGGTCGGCATGTATGAAATCGGCAGATGAAAACGTTGGAACTTAGAGAATGAAGATGGGGCAACAGTGGATGAAAAAATACGGCCGGGTTCGGGTATTTTAGTATTGACCCGTATGACATGGATGAAAAAACCAGGTGACAACATTTAATTGGATACTTATTACACCTCAGATTTGTATACACACGCGCTATATTTTTGCACTGATTTTAGTTTTTGTGTTAAAGTGGAACATAAAAAATAGAGTTGGAGGGCTAAAATGAAACATATAAAATAGAGTTGGAGGGCCAAAATGAATCAGGATAAAAATAAAGTGCCAAAATAAAAATGGTGCCGAATTAAATGGGCTGTATATGTATTTGGCCTAGATTAATCCTTGATATTGTTTGGTCACTCACATTATATTACTCCAAGCTCTAAAATCTAGATGTACATTCCTAAGCATCGATTAAGTGAGTGAGTTTTGTACTATTTTAATAACCCTCACATATTGAGCTACTTTTTGAGATTAAGTTAAGCTTAATATCTTTTTTTATTTTGCTAAACCAGAGAGCATTTATAAGCTTAATATCTTTTTTCCAACTGACTTTATAAGTTTTAGTAAACTTTTTTAATATTTTACGTTCAGATTAAGGTTTGGACAATTTTTATAAAAATAATTTACAGATACAAATATTCTTGGAAAATTGTAATTTCTAATATGTTTTTTATAATTAACCTGCTTCCACGAAATTTTGTAAAACCAAAAAAAAACTTTTAAAGACCCTTCTGAAATTCTGTTCAAACAAATATTATCTAATGCATACTTTTTCCTAGCCCATGTGAGGAGCTATATCCCAAGAAGACACTGACTCATAGTATATGATATAACCAACCATTTTTTGCCCTAAAATACAGAAAACACCATCTTTGCCAGTCAATATACACCTTCTACAGTCTACTCTCCATGTCCTCATAATTTTATGATATTCAAATTATAGAATATCAGTTTATACTTTATGCCACTTTCCTTATATATAGTGCTTATTAATGAGTTTTCAGTTTCTTTCCCTTTCTGCTATTTCCTTTTTTTTTCCTATGTTGTTTAATTCCACCGGCCTTAAAGGTAATAGTATCTTTCCTTACTCCTTATAACCGCAGTAAATTTCCAGACAGGCGCAGCTTTTTTCTTAGCGTGTGTTTCAGGCAAATATATATATATTAATGTTCCGAAAAAGGGGGTCTTTTTTCCTTTAAGGTATCATGAGTGGTTTTTTTCAGGATCTGAGTTTCAGAGAAAAAAACTTTAAATGGGGGTGTCTTTAAATTGTTTTCTTGATTTTGTGGAATTTGTAGGAACAAATTGCATTGGTTTTTCAATTTGAAATTTTTGTCAATTTTCAGTGTCACTTTGCTTAGTACTATTAGATTGAAAAGGTACTGGCTTTTTAGCCTCTTTTTGCTCATTAGTGAAAATCTACTAAAGGGTTGTTTTCAAGATTGTAGTTTGTTGATTTGGATGTGAGTTTTTCTCTCAAAAATTGCATCTTTTTTGTGGTTTAGGTATTAGTTTGAGTTTTGTTTTTGGATGTATTCTAATGGGGAGACTTTAAAGATTTTCTTGATTTGTGTGGAATTAGTGGCAAATTTTGAAATTTTTTGTCAATTTTCAGTGTCATTTGCTTAGTACTATTAGATTGAAAAGGTAGTGGCTTTTCAGCTTCTTTTTGCTCATTAAGGAAAATCCACAAAAGGGGTTTTTTCTTTCTTTTCAAGATTGTAGTTTGTGGATTTGGATGTGAGTTTTCCTCTCAAAAAATGGCATCTTTTAGTGGTTTAGGAATTGGTTTGAGTTTTGTTTTTGGATGTATACTCATGGGACTTGTAGCAGAGTTGTATTACTTATTATGGGTTAAGAAAAGAATCCCAAAGAGTGAATCAGAGGATCAATACAGCAGCAGTTATGGGACTGAACTTTTTCATCTTTTCTGTTGGAAAAAGCCTAATTCAGTATCTAATATTAGCAGTCAAGAACTAAACAACACACTGAGAAATCAAGAAATGAATGGTCAAGATCAAGATTTGGAGTTAGGAAATAGCAAAGATTTGCTATTAAAAGGGTATGGTGAAGATAGTGTGGAGTCGGAATTAATGAGGTTACACAATCTTTGTGGACCTCCTAGATTTTTATTTACTATCAAAGAAGAAACAAAAGAAGATTTGGAATCTGAAGATGGTAAATCAAGAGGTGAAAGAAGTAGAACTTGTTCAAGAACAAGAAGTTTAAGTGATTTAATTCTTACTCCTTTATCTTCACCACCTATTAAAGGTCATAATCTTGATTCTTACAATTGCCAAGGATTCAATCCTCTGTTTGAATCTTCAACAGAAACTGAATTAAACAGACTCAGATCTTCACCCCCACCAAAATTCAAGTTCCTAAGAGATGCTGAAGAGAAACTTATTAGAAAATTGATTGAAGAAGCTGAGAAAAGGGGTCTTAAAAATGAGGTTTCTTTTCAAGATTCTGCAATTAATAAACCATTTGCTAATGAGGAGAAACAACAACAACAACCCAGTTTAATCTCACTAGTGGGGTCTGGGGAGGATAATATGTACGCAGACGTTATTCCTATCCCGAGGGACAGAAAGACTGTTTCCAGGAGACCCTCGGCTCAAGAAGGCGACAAGAGACTTGCTAGTGAGGAGAAAGGGTCATTTATTTCATTTCTTGGTAAGAGCAAATTAAGGGAGCCACTACAGCAATTACATGTTCAGAATTCTACTTCTGTTAAGGTAATCCCATTGGCTTCTTCACCTTCAACTTATAAGCCAGTTGATAATGAATCTGTTATGGTTTAATTCCCATTCTAAGTTTAGATGAAGAGGTTTAAATTTCTTTATTTTTTTCACCTCTTTTCATCTATTAACCAAACGTACAGCATTTACCTCCCCTCTTGTATTAATTTTAGTTTTCAGATAGAAAATAGAGATTTGATTGTAAGTTCTCTGGATTGTTAATCTGTTTCTTAAGCAATAGACAGTCCTTTTAATTTCTTGCTCTAATATTTCAGTAGTCATGGTTGATGGTTTTTGCTAAAGTTTTTTTTTTTTCAGTTTTAGCCAGCGCCAGAAATTATTTACATTCGGTAACCAAAAAAGTGTATAAAATTTATATATAATATACCAAATATATATATATATATATATATATATATATATATATATATTGACTATTATTTTTAGGGTGGCTATACATTGTTCGTAATGTTTTGAATGATTATGGTATGGCTAATGGCAGCACCATATTTCCAGCAAATTAATTTTTTTTTATACATAGTAACTGGTGCAGATGCACTCTAATCATGCCACATTATGATGTCCCAATTATCTGCCTTTGTTATGCTATTAATATTTTTCAGGGGAATAGTTGATTTTGCTAGATCTAATTTTTTTTTTTGATACTATGATTCTAGCTGGTCCATGCCGTTCTTGTTTTTCTTTTTATTACGGTTGTGTTTATGTTTTACTGAGCCGATGGTCTATTAGAAATAACCTCTCTATCTCCACGAGGTAGAGGTAAGGTCTGCGTACATATTACCCACTTTCCAGACCACACTATGTGGGGTTACACTGGGTATATTATTGTTGTTGTTGATTCAAGCAATGTTTTATGGAAAGATATTGTATCATATTATGTTGCATAGAGAACACCTTAGCATACTACATTTGTGCATATTTGACAGTTCTACAGTTTGGTAGTTTTTTTTAGGTAAATATTACTTTAGAGTAACTATTTATCCAAAAGAAGGTAAAATAATTAGGATAGAACAAATGGCTTGCATTTTATTCTCAATTGAGATTCCTTATAGAAAGAAGCTCACTTTCTTTTCAGAGAACACTTGCACCATTTAAAAGAGGAATTTTCTCTTGTTTATTAAGGGGTTGTTTGGTAGGGTTTATAAGAATCATGCGGAATAAAGTGTATTAGTAATGCAGGGGTTAGTAATGCAAGCATTAGTTATGCAGATATTATTTCTTATCTACTGTTTGGTGTGGTGTATTAAAAATTGTAATGCATCATAATTTTTAAGAAAATAGTTGTTTACAAAAATACCCTCCATATTCTCTAGCTTTAAGGGACTTTAAGGACAATTTTGTCTTAACCATATTAATGCATGCATTAATGGCCTCGGTATTACTAATGTCATGGTTTTCTATGCATTATTTATACATATAATACCAAGTAAGATGTATAACTAATACGAGCATTAGTTATACACAAGCTGAAAAAATGTACCAAACAGTGTATTAGTAATGCACAAAACTAATGCTTGCATTATTTTTTCTAATACCTCCTACCAAACGACCCCTAAAAGTGTATTTAAGGAAAACAAAGTATGCATCTAAGAGGGTGGTCTGGCGTTCAATAAAGTGGGTGAAAACTATAAAAGACTAGAGTTCAAATCCTAGTAGAGCGAAAAAACATTAGGCGATTTTTTTTTTTCATTTGCCTAAGTCGTGATAGGTAGAATTATTCCGTAAAACAGTCAAGATGCGGACAAGCTGGTTTGGGTATCACCCTTATAAAAATGAAAGCAAAAGGAAATATATGGAGAAAAAAGAGGAAAGTTCTGAAGTTGAAAACCAGTGATGTTGTGTGATCTGTCACTGGTTTTGTTGAACTTTTGCCAAAAAAACAAGAAATGTCATTGTTATCACGAGATTCGGCCAAAAAAGTGGTCACGTCTTGAAAACAAAGTTCAATGTCAAAATTTGTACTTATTATCTCTTTGCATATGGAAAAGAACAAGAATTAAGGCTCAGTTCTGATCCTATTTCTTGAATGAATGGCCAAAATTCAAGAGTAGTTGTGCATCATTTTAATTTAGGGTATATGATTTTTATTTTGAGACTAGGTCTTGAATTAACAGAAGTGGTCCATTGGTGGTTGGCTATATTTTTAATAACTCTTGCCTTATTAAAGTAGCAATTAAAATTGGACCACATTCCAAACCCTTTTTTGGCCCTTTCACAAGCTGCAATTTTGCTTCATTCAAAATTTGAATTCCTAATGTATAATGCCAAAAGGTCAGACAATGACATGGTTTTATCTGTTGGGATTATGACAAAAGCTTTGCTATTTTATTTCTGTCACTAAATTCAATGAGCAGGTTTCCTCCTGTTTATTGTTCAACTAGTATTAGAAGAGACCTGCCATAATTCTTATGCAGATGATACCAAGCAACACATCACGTTTTTCTATAACCGAGAAAGTCACTTAGGCCATCATGATTCAAAATTCGGTGGATAATGAGTTTGTATTCTATCATTTTCTACTTAAATATCAAACTTTGACTTTAGTTTATAGTATGTTCAAACTCGTAATGTGACGTCCTAAGCAATCCAACATCGGCGAAATACTGGAGAAATATTGAGTATATAAGGCAACAAGTCTTAGACCCTTGTGATGGTGAGGTCCTAGACTCAAACCAGATGATATTACTAGTGGTTGAGCTGTTATAGACTATACATTATTAATAATCGAGAAATTTTTATAAAACACTACATTTAGAGTCTAATTACCATACATAACTATAGTTTGCTAAATTATCATTATAACCTTATCAGCTATATCTGTTCGCGCAATGAATACAATCAAGACAAAATATACGGGGGTTGTATACAAAGGATACAACCTATATCGACCGTATTCGTTCGCACAAACGAATACAACCAACGTGAAATACAGAAAAATATAATGCTCTCTCACTAAGAGTTGAACTTAAAACCTCCGTTTACTAAGCAGGTGCTCTAACCAACTAAGTTACTAGAACTTGTTGCTCTCTTATTTTAGTTCAAAACAGTTGATCTCTTGTTTCAGTGTTATATGTGAATTTGCTATAAAATTCAAGTATAGCTACAAATGATTTACCAACTCGGGGTTTTTCCTTGGTTTGGGGGGGGGGGGGGGGGTTGTACTTTTATATGAAGTTGTTTTAATCTTGCAAGGCAATGTTAGGGAGCTTTGCTTCAAAATTAGGCAATATGTGCATTTAGGTATTTGGAGTTGGAAAGGTACCAAAATTCAAACAGTTTATGTGCACGAATACTCATATTAAATCATAGTAGGAAAATTCAGCAGCTTAGGATTCTGTTGGCTAGCTGTACAATTTTGTTCCCACACAATAATAAGCATAGCTACTGAAATTGAGGATATGGTACAGATTCCAGGGGAGCCCACAGCCAACACTAGAACATGAAAAAACCAAGTTGTGCATAATTGATTGCAAGAAATTGGGACCAAGCAACATGACAAACTGAAATTCTTGGATTGGCTAAAACATTGGCTATGAGTAAAGATGAAGACAAATGTCCAAGAATCTGAATGTTGCTCATATAAAGCCAAAAGAGCCTTGAGAATAGAGGAATCAATCACGAAATAACCTTTTTCTCTGTTTAGCATAGTAAAGTCTCTTAAAGGGGAGCCTTAGAGCAACAGTAAAGATGTTTTTCTGTGACCTATAGGTTACAGGTTCGAGCTGTGAAATCAGCCGCTGATGCTTGGATCAGGATAGGCTGCGTACATTACACCCCTTTAGCATCCCCGATCCTGCAAATACTTCGTGCACGGGACTGCCTTACCCAGCACAGTAAAATCTCTTTTCATCTTATATTTTAAGTCAATGAGTATGGAATACTACGTCTATTATTATTGTAAGACATGGATGTAAGCATAACATAACTAGTATTTTCATAAAATAGAGGTGTCAAACGGGGCAAATTGAGTCCAACTTAGACGGGGCAAATCGATAAATAAGTCATAATTCAACCTACACAAAGTCTGTTTGGGTCAAATTGTATTAAGATGGATATAATAATGGGTCAATGTGAAATTTCTCCAATAGATTTTAAGTTTTTCGAAATTTATATAACTCCCAATCTATCATTTGACTCGCATGTTACACTATTTATACTCGTTCTGACCCAATAGATTGATGGATCATTCGGGTTCAACCCGTGGAGTTAAGTAAATAAACGAGTCAGAACCCAACTCGTTTAAATTTGTGCGGATTTGACGGATGACTAAAAATGGATAGATTAAGGGTCAGTTTGGTCACAAAAATAATTTTACTTTTTTCAAAATGTTTTTACTTTTTTTCGGAATCCGTCTTTGGTCACGAAAATTTTAAATTTCACTTGAAGTTGAATTTTCGAAATTTTTCAGAAATTTGAAAAACTCCAAAAAGTTGTTTTTCAAAATTTTCACTTCAAATCACTTACAAAATTCAAAATACAACTCCAAATTGTATTGACGTCCAAACACAATTCTAATTTTCAAATATCATTTTCACTTTAAAAAAATTCATTTTTTTCCGGAATTTCATAATTCTTGTGTCCAAACGCTACTTAGTTACCTCCGATATATAATTTTCAAAATTTTGTCCTATACAGTCAGACCTCTCTATAACAGCATCCCCATATAACAACCATTCACTATAAAAGTCAAAATTTTTTTCCAGCGATCTTTTATGTTACATTATAATATATGTCCTCTATAACAATACTTCACTATAACAGCCAAAAAATATTGAAAGAAATGAAGCTATTATAGAGAGCTTTGACTGTATTTGTATACAAGTTGATGCAAAGAAAAGAGTCCGGAACCAAAATGTGGTTCTTTTGGACTCAAAGAACCGAAATGTGTAGAAAAAAAATATGGTGACCAATTTATATATAGCGTCTTTTTTTAAAAGACACTATACTTTAACGGTCGTATGGTAGTTAAGTATATCGTCTTTTAAGAAGATGTTATATATATAACGTTCTTTAGTAAGACGCTATATTTATTATGTGGGCCCACAAATAATTCTTCTGGGCTAAACTGACATAACAATAATTCAACTGGGTATAGCACCTTAAGCTAAGACGCTATACCTTAAAAATTGAACCCCCGGACTGATTTTTGCCTTATTTAAAGACGTTAAGGATTTTGTAAAAATCCATTCAGAAATATTCTCAAGTCTTGTGAATTTTTCTTCGTTAAGTTGTTTTGCATTTTTGTC